AGGGGCAGGCCATGAGGAGGTGCCAGGGACTGTCCCTTTACTGGACATGGCCGAGTGGGGGGTGCGGGGCAGGAGCACGGCCTCGGGGAGAATGCTGGCCCCACGCCCTGTCCCAGGGACCTTGTGCTGGCTCCTGCCAGGTCTTCGTCTGAGTGGCCTCCTGGCTGCCTCCTCACTCAAGTGCCTTCCACACCCTTGGAGGGGAGTGTGAGCAATGCGAGCCCCATAGTAACTCAGGTGGTAGTCACCGTGGGTGGTGACATGGCTCCTGTTGCTGTCACTATTCTAGCCCAGGGATGTCAACACCACTCAGACAGGCCAGGCACGGCTTGAATACTTTTCGAGGCCATTAACTCGCTGAATCCTCCGGCCCCTCGGTGCTGGGAACTAGAATGCCCGCTCTAGAGACAAGGAGATGGAGGCACAGAGAGGTGACGTCGAGGGGCAGTGCTGGGATCTGAACCAAGACGTCAGCCAAGGGGCATTTTAGGACTGTTTATGAGAGGTCCCTGGACCCCTGCCTGATGAGGGTGGTGTGGTCTTGGGGGCCATCCAGCAGAGGGGACACATTCCAGTCTCATGTCTGAGGGGCTTGTCCCCCAAGTCCCCACCCAGCTCCATCTCAGGGGTACTCGAGCGAGGGTAGCCTGATTTTGTGGGCCACCCTGACATTCAGCTCTGGGAGGCCCCTCGTCCTCTGGGCCCTCAGCATCTTGGCCGATTACATGAGCAGGTGGGGCCAGGTGGTACCCTGGAGCTGGAAGATGCCAGGTGAGTGTATGGTGGGCATTGGGCTGGGAAGGCATCAAGGGACTGAAGTGTAAAGTCTGGGACAGGGCTGGGTGAGTGTGTTCTGCCTCAACCTGGGGTTGCTTCAACTGCCCCAAACACCTCAGATACTAATCTGTCACTGTGGTGTGTGTGGCCCAAATCGTCGTGCTGGAGGCAAGGGGGCTCCCTGTCTGCCTGCCTGTCCTGTAGAACCCGAGCTCCCCATTCCGGCTGGACTGGCCTCTTACCATGTCCAAGGCCACCTTCATGGCCTCCTGCAGCCCAAAGAGCTTCCCGGCTACCAGGTAGACCCCACCCGTCCACACGGCGCAGGCCTCATGCACCCAGTGCTCCTGGGTGTCCCCGCCAGGCTCTGCCGGTGCCTCCTTGCTGCACTCATGCTTGCGGATCTTGTCGGCAGCTGGGGCCACCTCCTCACTGCCGTCCCCCTGGCCGTCACAGCAGTAGCAACTCTGCAGCCGCCGGGACAGGCCCCGGGCACTGGAGCGCAGTGAACCCTGCTTGGCTGGGTCAGCTGAGCCATCGGGCCTGGGGGGTTTTCCCATAGCATCGGTAGCTGCACACTCGAGGCCCTTGAGTGTTCTCTCAAGGGGCACCGAGGCCTCCTCACAGGTGCCCTCCAGCCGCACTTTCTCCTTGAGTTTTGGCTTCTTTTTGGGGAGGCAGTGTTCGGGGTAGTAGGGCCCACAAAGGTCCCCAAGGTCCTTGAAGTTGGCCGGGTTTTGGCAGAGGCAGCAAACAAGGCAAGAGGTACTCAGGGCCTTGGAAACCACGGGCCCCAGATGCATGGTGGAGGAGAGGGGCAGAGAGGGCCGAGGTTGCAGGACGGAGCCTCCAGGGAGCGTGGCCAGGGAGGCCCCAGCTGCATCCAGGGATGATGAGGAGGAAGAGGAGGCAGAGGAGGGTTTCCTGTGGGGCTTGGGCTCCTCCCCAGGGGAGTTGACAACAGTGCACACAGTGGTGAACGCATCTCGCTTCTCAACCCGTACAAAGGGGGAGAAGGCTGGGGCACGGCTGTCGGCCCGCAGCCGCTTGCATGAGGAAATGTACTTGAGGCGGATTTCAGGCTCCGCGGGATCCAGGGGCAGCACCTGCTGCTGCCGTCGCCGCTTGGCACGCCCCTTACAGGGTGAGGAGCTGGTATTCTTGGCCCGGCCCCGAGTGAGGCGCTTCCGCTTGGAATAGCTGCTGTAGTTGGCATGGCCTGGCTGCTTCTGCACCCTCATCTGAGGCTGGCAGGACCTGCCTTCAGGGGGCTGGGGAGCCAGGCCCAGCTCCTCCATCTTTGGCTTCTTGCTTCCTCCGCCACAGCTGTCCTCACTGCCACCCTGCATGCTGTTGGCCCTATCTCTGGGAGTCAAGAGCAGAGAAGGGCCTAGATGGGGCTGCTTCTCCAGGGGACCTTTGGGGAGTCCCAGGGCTCCAGCCTTGCCTCTCCGGCTTCTTTTCTTCGGTGCCAGGACAGTCCTCCCAGGTGGCAAGGCCTCTGGGGACATAAAGTCTTCAGTTTTAAAACAGTCAGTCGAGGACAGTTTCTTAGTGTTTATGAGTTTGCCTTTTAAGGATCTGTTGGCTGCATTTCTGCAAAACGGGTCAGTCCCTGAAGCTGCCAGGAGCTTCTGCCCGGTGCCCATGTGTAAGAGACCTTCTGCCCCCACCGGGCTGCCCCTGGCACTCTTGAGCCCACGGTCCTTCTCAGAGGGGGCCGGGCTCAGAGGATTCCCAGGAGCAGCCCCTGGCGCTCTGCATGCAAACTTTTTCAGGCTGGGCGAGGTGATCTTCTGCACGATAGCCTCCAGCTTCAGGCCCCGGCCCTTCCGGGGTGGCAGCACCTTGGTCTTCATGGCCCCCGGGAAGGCTGTCCGTGAAGCCAGCTTGAGACAGGTGTCAGGGGTCTCTGGGGGCAGGGGCTTCGAAGTGGGCTCGCTATTGCCCTTGGCAGGCTTGGCTTTCTTGGGAGAAGACATCCTTTTGAAGAGGGTGGGGGAGCCCTCAGCCCGCTCCTCCTTCACATCTGCCCGGCAGCCACCGGGACTGCTGCTGCTGCTCCGTAAGACCAGGTTCCGCTTCTTGGTGGGGACGGGTGCCACAAAGGCCGACTTCCTTTTGAGTGCATGGAGGGGCCGATCAGATAGCTTGCTGCCTGCACTGGGCTTGGGGACCCTTGCCCGCTGGTTGGCCCTGCCCTCCTTCTGGGAGTTGCCAGAGACTTTGAAGGTGACAGGCAGATGGCTGTTGGCAAGGAGCTTCTTGGCGGCACGGCAGCTGGGGACCCGGCTCTCAGAGGGCCGCCGCCTGCAGTGGAAGACTTCTTGGGCTTTGGTGCGGGACCGCAGGATCATAGAGCGCTGGTCTCTGCCAGGGGTGCAGGGAGAGTCCGTTTCCTTGGTCTTGGAGCCCATGGGGCTGCTGTCAGAGGCCACTGGCAGGGCAGCCGGGTTACTGGGGCTGGATGCTGCCTTGGGGGAGGGCTTCCCCACCCGCTTGCCAGACTTGAAGGCAGCTCGCTGCTTGCCCCCCAGTTTGTCTGGTGGGGCAGGGGTGGTGATCAGTCCTGGGGGTCCAGGAGTACGGGGCTCACTCAGGGCTGTGAAGGAGCGGGTGCACATCCTGGGGAGCCCTTCTGAGGTCCCCCGGCCTGGGACCCCTGCCCCTTCCATCTGTCCCTGGGGGGGCCCTGTGCAGGATTCTGGAAGCAGGAAGTCTTTGGGCAGAACCGGCGCCCTGCATGGAGAGTCCTCGGCCTCGGGAAGCCCCCGATGCACCCGCCTGCTCCGCAAGCTCTTGCCACGTGGCACGGGCTCTTTCTTAGCAATGGGTGCCTCGGGAACAGCAGGCTTGTTTGGCTTCTGGACCAAGGAGGCCTCCGGGGCAAGGGTAGCAGGATCCCCAGGAGCCAGGCCCCCACTGGGCCCCTCTTCCCCAGGCTTCATGTGGGTCAAGGAGGACTCGAACCAGCTCTGGACCTTCGACTCGGCGCCCACAGTGGGACCCAGCAAAATGACAGACTCTCCAGAGAGGTGGCATGGGGAGCCCCAGCCAGCCTTGGGGTCCAGCACTTCCTCCACCTCCTCCTTGCTGCACATCAGCGGAGCCTTTGGCGACAGCGGGTCCTGCATGCTGGGCCTCTGCTCGGGGCTGCCCAGGAGCTCACACAGGGATGAGTACTCCTCCTCAGCCTCCAAGTCCTCCTTCCTGCCAGTGGGCGGCAGCAGGGGGAGGTCCCCAAAGTCTGTGGCCGAGCAGCAGTGCCGGCTGTCCTCCAGCCACGTGTCGTCTTTGCCCACCTCAGGGCACTGCAGCAGCCCACCTGCCTCCTCCTTCACCCCGCCCACCTCTGGCTTGGAGTCCTGGGGCACACTGGCCTTCTCCCCAGGGGGTTCCTCCTCCTGGAAGCCCAGACAGGCTGAAGCCTCGTGGGCGTTCTCCTTGCTGATGCCATCCGAGGCTTTCCCACCCTGCTCCAGACTCTTGGTGAGCTCGCTGGGGTGCAGCCCCCACCGGGGACAAGCATCCCCCAAGTTCTCCTCTGGCCAGGAGAAGGGGTTGGCGCTGTCTGCTGAGCTGGCTGTGGTTGTATCCGGAAAGCAGTCAAAAGCTGTAGTGCTGGGGTCTGAAGTGGCAGCCCCAAGGGTGGGCCTGGAGCCAAAGGAGAGGCCACCAGTTGTCTTCTTGGGGTCTGGGGTGACGAAGCCCACAGAAGGGTCTTCAAACAGCCCTGGGCTGAAGTCCTTAGCATGGCCACCCTTGTCCAGCTGTAAGGACTCGGGCAGGGCCTCGGGCTCCCCTGGCCGTGACCATGAGTTCTTGGCTATGGAGTCCAGGCAGGCGCTGTGGTTCTCTAGCGAGAAGGGTGGCTTGCTGGTGTCCTTGGCAAGGCCAGGCACCTCGGCCCAAGCCTTGTCACCCTTCTCGCCAATGGCCTCCTGTAGCCCCAGGATCTCGGAGGCCAAATCCTCTTGCGCCAGGGCACTGAGCAGCAACCGTGGGCAGTCCTGCTCGCCTGCCACGAACTTGGAGAAGTTGTCAAGCGGCAGGCTGCCGTGAAGGCTGTGGAAGGAGTCATCAGACTTGGTGGACATGTCATCGGGCGAGGTCACAGAACAGGTGGACACGGACTCAGGCTTGGCCTTCGAGTTGCTGTTGACCCTGGAGGGGCTGCCGCGGGCCTGGTTGCAGTAAAGGAAGCTGCGCTCCAGGGGGTCCTCAGAGCCGCTCAGGTAGTCGGCCTCGGGCGGCTCGGCGTGGCTGGACAGTGGTGTGCCCACCTGCTCGGCTGAGAAGCCGCTGCTCTCAGGGCTGCAGTGCTGGCTTTTGTGCTGCTCCGAAGTCTGGGACACCAGGTTCCGGCCGCCCTTCCTCTGCGGCGTGGCTGCCTTGGAGAGCAGCAGCTGCTGGACTGTACTAGAGATGCTCTCCACCTGCGACGTCAGGGCGGTGAGGCTCTGCAGGCTGAGGTCCGCCAGCAGGCTCTCCGGGAGCTTGTCCTTCTGGAGTGGCTTGCAGTTGCCGGCCTGTGTGTCCACAGAGCTGGTCGCATCAGTTGGGGAGGGGTTGAGCAGGGGCATGAAGTGGCTGTGGTCAGTGATGCCTGCGGGAAAGGCCCCCGTGCTAAGCGGCTGCTGGTTATAGGGAAAGTTCTCGAGGTTTGGCATCAGCGGTGATGGGGTGGAGCTGTAGGAAGGCGAGCGGCCCATGGAGCGTGCGGGTGAGTGGCTAGAGCTGGGGCTGAAGGTCTGGTAGTACTGCTCCGGGGTCCTGATGGCCGGGTCTGGCTGGCAGTAGCCCGGACCTTGCTGCCCGTAGTGTTGGTACTTGGCAAGGTTTTGGTAATGGAGGGTTTCCTGGGCATGGTGTCTGCTCTGGAGGGCTTGTTGCTGCTGCTGCTTCTGCTGGCTATAGCTGAGGCGGCCGGCCGGATAGACATGAAGGTTCTGAACTCCCTGCCCTGGGGCCAGGTTGGGGCCAGCAGTCAGTGGCCTATCATGGGGCTGGGCAGACGGTGCTGTGCAGCTCTTATAGGAGTGGGTGCCTTGCCCGCCACCCTGGCCAGTGGAGGAATAGGTGGAGGAGGTGGGGAAGGACTGCGACTGCTGGGAAAAGTGGCTGCCCTGGGGAAAGGGCAGAGGTGAGGCAATGTCATTCTGCAGTTTCTGCCTCTGGAGCTTGGGGTAGGCCAGGGGCTGTTGGGGCTGCTGGGGCTGGGGCTGGGCATGCAGGGAGTGAGTCCGAAAGGGCAGCTGGGCACCCTGCTCTGGGTACTGCCTGCCCGAGGGTACTGCTGTCTTTTTCATCAAGTTCTCGTCATATTTGCCCACCCCCCCTGGCAGGGGCTGTGGCTGGGGGGTTGGCGGCTGGGGGGCCCCCCAGGCCTGCAGGCTTTCCTCGCCTGCATAGCGGCCCGGGTAAGGGCCGCTGTCCTGGACGCTGTAGCCGAACGCTGGCCTCCCCTGCAGGACCTGCTGCGCGGGCAGGCCTTTGCTGCCACGAGCAGCGCTGGTAGGTGTGCCAGCACTGCCCTCGTAGCCGGGGTATGGCTGCGGGTTATAATAGTCCTTGGCGAGCAGCCTCTGCCGGTCACAGCTCAGCCCAGCCTGGCTCGGCTGCCTGTAATTCTCCAGGCGAGATGTCTCCTGTGAGGTCTGCTGGTAGTTCTGTTGTTTGCCATGGAAACCGCACCTTTCTCGAAAAGACTGCATGACTTGGGCTGGTTATCTGTGAAAAGAGAAGGGGGACAGGGAGTAGGGGTGGGAAGGGGAAGACAGGCAGGGGAGGGGACAGAGGGAGAGCGATTCGGTTGGGCCATTTCCTTTCACCTCAGAAAACCTGACTGCCATCCCTCACCCAGCCCTGCACTCTCCCCACAGCTCTTGATAGCACCCCCTTTGCCTGGGCCTCCCCACCAGCTGTGCACATATTGATGACTTCTGTGGCAGGGAGGTGTGCTCTATAATTCCCACCCATATCACCTGCCACTGAGCCTTGCCAAGGGTGGCTGCCCTCCAAGGGAGAGAGGGAGGGAGGTGCAAACCCAGTTGCCCAACTCTCCAGATCGCCTGGGAGATGCTACCCCACCTTCCCCCTGGCAGGCTCCCCATTCTCTCCCCCATCCCACCATTAACAGCCCTTTCCTGACAGCTCAAAATCATTTAGCACAGCAATTCCCGCTCCCCTGTCCCCTGGGGCAGCTGGATCCTGTAATCTCGTCTCAGCTTGGCAGTGTTCAGTGTGATCCAGCCAAGCCGGGGACAAGAAAGGTTTGCCCCTGCCCGGAGCAGCTTGCAAGGCCTGCCACACACGTGCACACACACCTCCCTTATCACTTCCATGCCATCTGGAACCTGTCAGCTCCTTGTAGCAGACGTTGATTGGGGGCATCTGAACCACTGTAGTCAGAAAACATCCCCTTCTCTGACTTCCAGGAACGCAGGAAGGTGGCACCTGCATCCTTTTGATACCATAGGTGCGTAAACAAATCACAAGGCCCAGAGTGAGGGAGTGCAGGCTAATGCAGGACACAACTGACACTTCTCCCGTGTGAGGCAGCCCAGGCCCTCCTGGCAGGTCCCTTTGGCCTCCACAGGGTCAGGGCCAGGGCACGCCAGGCCAAGAGCCATCTGTTTGTGATTTTAGGGGCTGGGGTCCTGGTGGGGGTCTAACCTAACCCAAAGCAGAATTCTGGTCAGAAAATGACCCTGGGGTGAGGGCCCTTCAGGGCAGAGCAACTGGATTCACAAAACAGGCCAGCCTTCAGTGTCCAGGATATAGGTTCTCCCAACTGACCAGAGGCCTGGGCACCCCAGATGACCATCCACAGAGGGAGGAGCAAGGAAACACTCCAGGCTGGGGAGCCCCAGGGGGCTCAGGATTTACCCACAACTAGGGTTGGGGTTGGAGGTGGGGAAGGGGAACAGGAAGACCATGACTCAGCGAGGACTGCACATCCTGGGCCCCAGGAGAGCACAGGGACTTTCCAGTTCCCATTCCCAACACTGAAAGAGGAAGGGGGGACCTGCCTTGGGGTACAAGATTCCAGGGTTACAAGAGAGACCAGAATGAACTGAAAAGGGGAGAGAGACAGAGCTCAATGTGGAGGGAGGGAGGGACTGCCCCCAAGAGGTCCAGCTCACTGCTCTTCTTCTCCAGGATCCTACCTAGACACCTTCCTCATTCAGTGTTGGGGGCCAACCAGGGAGGGGAGCAGAGGAGGAGCTCCAGCCAGCGGAGCAGGGCAAGTCCAGGGGAGCCGACAGCCCCCAGGGGCCCACCTCTCTGACCCTCGGCAGGCCCTGACTCAGGGATGGAGGCACTGCTGCTTGGAGGGGACCAGTGTTCCATAAGGCGGGCTCCTGCCCACCAGGCACGTCAAAGGCAAACTCCTTCCTGCCTCTCCCTGGACCTATCTCAGGCATCTCCAACAATGAGAAACGTGCCTGCCCTTCTGCCCCACTTCAATCGCATCTCTGGTGGCTGGGATCAAACATTACAGGAGGTGCCTGCTGCTACAGGCCAGCCCATGGGAGCTAGAGGCAGCTTTGGTTCTGGCCTGGAAGCTCCCTACCAGGTGGACAGCCTTGCGCCTCCTGACCCCACCACCGCAGGGAAGGCACAGAGGATGTCCAGCGGACCGCCACAGGCTGCCCAGCCTGGTGGCCCCTTCTGCCCCTGGCAGGCACACTCGGTGCCTCCCCACGCTGCCCACACCTGGGCCAGCAGGTGGAAGCCGCCTCTGCTCAAGGCAGAGCACTGCACCAGAGCTGCCCTCCCCCACCTCCCATGCTGTGTTTATGAGCCCAGAATGCGCAAACCCAAGCCCACTCTGAAGGCTGCGCCTTGTATATCTGCACAAATTATATTTCAGCTTTTATTAGTCCCAGATCGCTCTCATTTCCTGCTGAGTGTCCTGTGGATATCATTAACATTTCTACAGCTTTTATTTTTTTCACATTCTCCAAAATGCATTACCCAGAAACATTATTTAAAAAGAGAAAGTGCTATGACCAGTGTCCAGCCCCTCCCCCAGCTTTAATCAGTCCAGCTGCTGTGTCTTTTAATTTAGCCGAGCTGTACTGCAGGCGGGTTTCCCAATACACACGAGCAGCTGGATATGGTGAAAGCATCTATCTCTGAGAAAAGACAGTTCAATTAAAATACGAAAAGCCCAGCGCCTGGTGGAGAATGCAGCCGAAAGTGCTCACCCCAACACCAACCTCCAACCCGAGGGAGGGGGGGTAGGGATGCAGGAACAAAGGCCTGGCATCAGAGCCACCTCTGAGACATCCAGCTCTGCCAGGAGAAAATGGGGCTCTGCATCTTTAAGAGCTGCCACAGGCTCTGTTATTAATTATTACGATTATGATTACTTTTCAAGAACACTAGGAAAAGACAAGGAAAGAGGCAGGCAGAGGGGGCTGGGGTGGGCGGCATCATGAGTAGGGGGCAGAAAGAGACCCCCTTAGCAGAAAAATGGTAACCTTTGAACATGGGGGGGAGGGGCAGAGCATGGCAGACTTGGGGGTTTGACCTCTGTGGGTTCAGCTGGAGGGAGAAGGGGTGGGGTCAGGGGAGGGCACCCCCTAACATATCCTCACAGGTCTCCTCTGGTCCAGCCCAGCTTCCCCACCCCTGCTTCCCCAGACACTGGGTCAGGGCCTCACCTCTGAAGGTCCTGTGCAGCTGGGGAGGGGAAGGAGGGAGAGGAGGGAGAGAAGTCGTCTTGCCCTAGGACAGCCCCCGGAAACTGGTCTTCCCAGGCCACGGCTGAGGGAGCGGCCCAGCTCCGGGGAGCCTGCACTGGAGGCTGGCCCAGGCCCGAGCCCCTGCATCCGAAGCCCCAGGAGCTCCCTCAGCACAGTGATGGCTTTCATAGCTCCCCCAGCCACCGACACAGCCAGAAATCGGGCGGAGGGAGTAAAGAGCAGGGGCCTGAACAGACCCCACCCCCACCCCAGTGCAAGGCTCCCAGTCCTTGAGAGCCTTTGGCAGCAGAACCGGGCCTCAGCAGTCCTTCTCGGCAAAGACCCCAGCCTTCTCCCCTCCCCACAAAAGTGCCATAGCGTGAAGGGGGCACCCTCGGCTGTGACTGCCCACACTGCACAGGCTTGCTCCACGAACGCTGACTTCTACTGTTTTACAGACGGTGAGGCGTAGAGAGGAAAGAGTCCTCCATATGAGCCCCAACCCAGGGAAGATCCTTTCACTGAATGACCACGCAGGAGCAGTGACCAGGCCACACCTGGAACCCACACCAAGAATTCCCGTTTTAGAGGAGACATCTTGGAGCATGACAGCAACGGTGCTGCAAGGAGAGGCCACGGGGTGCCGGCAGCTCACATTGCCCAGGCTCCCTCTGCAACCTCGCAGGCCCTGACAGCAACGTTCCCTCAAGGAGCCAGACCCACCTTAGGGAGGTCCACTTATGGGCAATGGTGGTACTGGCCGCCTGCTGTCACCACGGCAGCCTCAGAGACAGGTCACAGGCCCATAGCCTCTCCAGACCCAGTCAGGAAAATGGGCAGTGTGAGCCGCAGCTGCTACAGCTCCCATGGATACTGATGGGGCCAGCCGGGAGATGTGGCCAAAAGGTCTTCCTGAGCACAGGGAGTGGTGGGGTTAGGAGAGAAGGGCAGAGAGGGGGAGAAGGGAGAGGGAAAAAGGGGGGGAGGGAGGCAAGGGGGAGAGCAGAGGGGGGCTTTCTGCTCCCTTGCTTCCTGATTTGTAGCTGCAGGAAAAATATTTTTAAACCGAACCCATTCAAGGCGTGGGAACAGGAAGGGGAAAGTCACCCAAGTCAGGAAGCTAGGGATGAGGCGTGGGGGTGTCCTGAGGAGCTGTGGGACGCAGGTGATGAATATTGAATAGGAGATCTCCACTAACTAGTAAATCATTAGCCAGATTCACTGCTGTCCTGTGAGGTTTATTTTGAATCCTAAAGGCCTGGCTTGAATTGGAGGAACTTCCAAGAAGTCCACAAGACAAACAGCCCAGTACCCACAGGCCTCTGGGACAGTAGGGTCTTTGGGCCAGGGGCTAGTGAAGAGGTAGGGACCAGAGCTAGCTAGGAGAGCCCTGCTTGGGGCAGAGGAAGGACCATCCTGGGGCATAAGGAATCCAAGAGAACAAGGCAGCCCCCACCCCAAAGTATGGCCTCCCGAGACCAACCCCCATGAGCAACACACTTAGCATGCACCTCTCCTCATGCATGCGCACCCATGTTCGTTCGTGGGAGAACCACACGGAGGCCCAATGCACCTCTGCAGGGCCAGCGTGGGCAGCCTGGGTGGACGGCCTGGGGCTACTAAGAGGCAGTCAATGAGGTGAGTGGGATGGCAGGCAAGTAGGCCACCCCAGCACCCTCTCCAGATGTCCAGGTTAGGGACCCCAGGTGAGGCTGGCATCTCAGGGCTCTTTGGAGGATATCCGAATGGGGAAGAGAGGCTTCTGGAGTCTCCAGATGTTTGGAAAGCCTTCCCTTGAAGCCTACCAATGACACCTCCCCCAACAACCCAGATATGGAGGCAGCAGAGACCTCAAAGCCCCCTGAATGAGGTTCTCCCCTCAGGGTCTAACCCACAAGAGGACGTCCTCTTGGTCCCTCACTGCTTGTCTGGGCACCACTTGCTGGGTGTAGCTGTGCTAGTTCCTAAGGCATCCTGTCCAGTTAGGATGCCACCAACCCATTTCCAGTAACTTGTGGAGATCTCACACACAGGCACTGGGCAGCAGAGCTGAGCCTCAACTTCTAAAGCTGTGCCTTGCTCCACTCCACCCCCTACTCCCACCATGGTGCCCTCTCTGGGATGCAGGGGTCAACAAGCCCAGGGACCTGAGTCACTTAAACCAGAGGCATCCACAGTCTAGGGGTGAGGGACAGATGACCAACCTGGCCCCTCCCTGCTGTGAAGAACTGGGGGATGGGGTTGGGAGGGGGTGGCCAGACGAAATTCTAAAAGCAGCTGTGCGACTGGCATTCAAGACCTCTGGGGGGGGAGGGGGGAGAACTCACCTATTATCAGCCCAGGCTTATCAAGCTCTTGTGGACATAACTATTTTTAGATTATTCAACAAAAAACATCACCACTTCTCCCAGTCTCTGTCAAAATGAGCTAAAGAGTAAAAGGGTGGTGGGACCAATGGCTAGGATGTAGAAGACTGGGGGCTATGGGGGCCCACACATTCAGAGCCCCAGTCCAGCAAGATCAAGAGGCTGGTCCAGAGGCTGACCTGGAGGTCTGGGGGGGCCCAGAGAAGGGGTCCCAGTCTGCCCTCTTCTCCTCTCTCCACCACACTCCCAGAAGTTCTGGACCTTGCAGGCTACCCCACAATATGGATAAGATAGCATCTGTGTCTGCTGGCTTTGAGAGGAGGCAAGAACGCAAGGAGAACCCAACCTCTCACACCAGTCTTGTCTTCATCACCCCATGTGCCCAGAGAGATCATGACTTCCCTTGGGAAATAGAAGCACCAGAGCACCAAGCCTATGGCTTGTCTGGCTACTGACTGACTTTGGGGCCTTGGGCAAGCACTTTCACCTCCCTGAGCCTCAGGGCCTTTGCACCTGCTGTCTCCTCTGCTGGAATTCTATTCTCAGACATCTACATGGCTCCGCCCACAGACTTCACTGATGTCACCTTCTAAGGCAGCCTTTCCTAACAAGGCTTGAAAAGGCACACTTTGCTCTCTCCTTTACTTGTCCAAAGTGCTCATATCCTCTTGCAATAAGCCATATGGCTGGCTAGCTGGTTTTGCTATTGGTCTTTCCTCATTATAACAAAAATTCCACGAGAGCAGGGATTTTTTTTGTGTTTTGTTCACAGCTATATCTCCATTTCCTGTAACAATAAATTTTTGTTCAAGTGTGTAAAATGTCATATTAACCTTATCAAAATATCCAGAACAAGCCGCCGGGTAGCGGTACAGAGCACATTTGGGTGGGGACAGGAACTTGTGGCCACAACTCCTCATTCATCCAACAAAGAACACTCTCCTCCAGCTCACAGGTGGGCAGGTGAGAATGGAGGAAAACTGGGGATCCTGGTCACAAATAAGATGAGGAGGAGCCCCACTGCCCTCCAGTGAATTGCTGCCTTATGGGAATGAGGGCCCAGGGTGCCAGAGCTTGAGTTTTTTCATTTTAAAAAGCCAGAAATCAGGATTTTATAAAAAGGGAAATCTCATTTTAAAAAATGTTTTCAACCAAGTACAAAATTTAACATGCCAGAGCTCAGAAGCTGTGTGCTGTATTTGGTCACAAGCTCCCAGGTGTTACACACTGATGTAACTGACCCAGAACTTCTCATGGGCAAAGGCAGGGCCTTGTTGGGTGGGAAATTTGGACACCTAGAAGGAGAGCAGGAGGGGCATCCAGAACCTTCCCTAGCCCCTGGGAGAAACCCTGAGGCCAGCACAAATCAGGTAAGCGGTGGAGTGGAGCAGGAGAGCAAGTGTGGCAGGCTCCGGAAGGAGGCAGGGCTGGTCTATGCAGCTGTGGCCTGTGGGAAAGGGGAGCTCAGAAGCCTTGAAAAGGAGGTGTAGAGAGGTGGGGAGCTGCAAAGACTGGGAGGCCCTAAGGTCCACAAAGCACTTGGACGAGACCCTATCCCCCACCACCTTGCTGGGTCCCCGAAGGGCTCCTTGGTGGCACTCATCACAGCAATAATTACATATAATTCACGGTATAATGACTAGTTTTACATGTGCTTCCTTCACCAGAACGCAGCCTGATGAGGGCAGGGGCTTCATCTGTTAGGTCCTAAGCTCTAACCCCAGAAACTGGCCCCAGTAGGTGCCTATTAAATACTGCCTACTGCCTGGGTGGGCAGACGGGACGCATGGGGGCAGATCCTGGCTGGGTACATTATTTAACCCTCATCATAGCTCTAAAGGGTGCCACCCAGAGAAGGCTGATGGTGACAGGCCTGGAGACCAACACACGTACCACAGGCCATCTGGGAGGAAAGACCAAGTCGCGCTCTGCCGTCCACAGCCCCTGGGTCATAGCCCCTTCTGTGCCTGCACCCACTCACCTGTTAAGTCCATTTCTGCTCAGCTTACAGTCTCTGGGGCAGGGGGAGGGGGACGGCAAGCTGGGTGATGAGGATGCAGAGGGAAAAAAGCATGATGGGCCCTGCACTCCTGAGGCACAGACACCCAGACAACTCCAGGGTGTGACACCAGGAGGCTCTGGGAATGGGGAGAGTAGGCAGTCAGGGTAAGCTGTGAGAATGGGAACTTTAATTACGTGAGGAATAAAGAGGGCCCAGCAGACGCCAATGTCTGCAGAGCATATTCTAGGCCTAACCTCTCCCTCATTTTGCAGGGGAATTAATGAAAGGCTAGAGAGAGACGTGACTTGTCCAGAGGCTCAGCAGGGCTGAGACCTCTCTACAGCTCTGCCCCAGGGTGCCCCTTTGTCAACCAGAGAAAACCTCAGAACTGGGGGGCCAAAAAGGGTGCTGGGGAGGTCCTTCTCCTGTACACCCCAGCTTCCCGGAGGAGTCAGGGAAAGCCCCTCCTCCCCTCCCCAGCCTGGGTGGGAACCACCCCCTCCCCGCAGCGTCCTGCCCGCCCCAGGCCCAGCGGGGAGCGGCGG